GCCTCCCAAGAGCTAGGATTACAGGCGTGAGCCACCGCGCCCGGCCTTCCTTAAGGAATTTTTAATCCTTATTTGGAATTGCTTCAAAAGTTTGGGGTAAGGGAGGGGTCAGATGCATCCCTTCTTATCAGCAAACAGATAGCCATTGTTGAAAGTAACAGCATCTTCCATTGTAGGCTACGGAACAGCTGGTGAATGATATCCTGAGACAGGCTTTGGCGGTTGGATACCAGGCAGCATCTCACAACAGGTACTGCTATCTCTGTGGTCAGGAGTATGAAGCTTACACCTGTTTCCTAACAGTTTTAACTGCCCGTGAAGATTTTTTATATTTAAATCAATCCAGTAGAAGAGTCAGTGCTTGGGACTAAGAATGCCAGACAGACTCAAGGGTCTGTTCTGTTATTCTGAGAAAACCTTGTGGTTATGAAAGCTCAGCTTTGCCCAGAGGTCTTTATCCTCCCCATCGTTACACACCTAGGACTCTGTTTTGTTGCAGGGTTGCACAAATATCAGCTCTTTGCAATTAAAGTTAACAATAGTTTCCATTGTGTGTCAGACATTAGGGCCAAGCATTACATATATTACATAATTTATTTTTCATTGCAGAACTATTTCCTTTCTAGAAATTAGGAAACTGGGCTTTGAATGGTGTCTTACCTGGTTTTCCTAGCAAATATATGGTAGACCCTAGATTCACACTCAGGATTCATTGAGCTCCAAAGCCCACAGCTCACCACTACTCTTTGCTAACTCAGATTATCTTTGATTGGAACACTGAACTTCACTTGTATCCTGGACTCTAAAAGAATCATATATAGGCCACATCCTGCTTTTCTTTCAGAGGAAACAAATATTTTATTCCATTTTGCTAATGGCTGTCAACAATTTATAAAATTGTAACAAAGTGCATGAGGACATGAAGAGGCGTAACTCAGGATAATTTCAAGCCATACTTCACAGGGATGTAATAGAAGTCTTTAGAAAATAGGAAAGGGGACAGAGTTCCAGTCCTGCTGCTCGTGGTCCTGCTTGAAACCCAGGAGTGAGCCAAGTGCCTTCTGGCGACCTTCCTCGCCTCCATAGCCCTGACTCTGGAGTGACTGGCTGTTTTGATGAGAGCATTTAACATCCACTGGGGCTGGCATGACTCCATGAGATGGGAAATACGGTCCCGGAGTTCTGTGGTGCTTTGACTCATCTCTCAGTCTGCTAAGACTGAATTATAAACGTGACATTCTGTTCTGCTATCCACTTTTACTTCCTTTCTCCAGTCCTCATAATCATTTTTCCTAATCATTCAACCAACTTCTTGAAATCCTTCTAGTGCCTGTGACTGGGAAGTCAGATCTGAGCCCTGACCAGGACTGTGACGGGGGGGAGGCCAGACCTATCACCAGAGCTGAAGGCAGTGATGGAAAGGGAGAGAGAGAATGTACCTGGACAGTGGCCCTAAGCCATGCATAATCACTCATCATTGTCCCCTTTCATAAGGCCTCTACAGGGCATGGTCCCTGTGGAAAATATACTTGAGAGAATCACACCTGATAACATGCTTTGTTTTTTGGACCAGGGTTCCCAAAGAAATTACAGTGAGTAATATCCACCAGGCCATTTGCAACATTCCTGTCCTGGACTTCCTCACAAACAAACACATGGGGATATTGAATGAGGACCAGTGAATAGAATGAAGATGCTCCTAGAAAATCAGGATCGGAAGGCGTATCCAAAGCACATGAACCATGATGACTTCTTCTCTTTGGGGAAGGTGGTTATTTTCTTTGTGCCTCAGAATATCATGAGAATGAGAATATCATAACCATTGCCTCTTCCTAATTCTATAACACCAGAGTGTTCAGTTCCAGATGAAATCCTTTTAGGACAGAAGTTTGTTTCCTGATTCTGGAGTGAAGCTGTAAGTGGAGACATGCTCTGTCAACTTACATTTCTTTATTCTCTGTAAGGCTCCGTAAGGGGTCTCATAGCTGAGCCAGGCTGTGTGTATCGTGTCCTTCTCTCCTCTGAGTGTACTCAAGGGGGCAAGCTGGGCCTCACTCCTCAGGAGGTAGACAGTGAGTCTGGCAGGCTAGAGATTTTACCCATTCAGTGGGCTGGGGTAACAGGAAACTCCAGCAGTTACCCTAAAGGGGAACTGGGCTTCAGCACTCAGCGAATGGTTCTTTGCTCCTACCTGGCCTTGGTGTGGAGGAGCTGCACTCTTAGTAAAATGAGTCAGCTATAGGAAGAGGTGATGCCATGCAAGGAACCACAGAGGCCTGGGAGGCTGCAAACTGAGCAGAATTCGCTTTTTAGGGAGCACAGGAGCATTACTGCAACTAGTGTCAAAGCAACATCAAAATGGAGCACTCCCAGCATAGGTCAGGAAAAGGTTTGACTATAATCCAAGAAGCTCTTAATATTAGTAATAGACAACAAACACAAGTCCCTGACACTTGGCAGAATTGTGCCGGCTTTACCTGTGTGTGCCAAGCAGGTAGCTGGTTGCATACCATTTACATGGTCTGCAGGAGCTTTGGCTGCATCCGTGTTGAGTGGGAGCAGCCCCTGAGCAGGCTCAGCTGGGATCGTTCGTTGTGTCAGTGGATTTAGAATTCTGTTCTTCTCTGTCAAGGAGTTTTTCCCAAGAAGAAAAGTGTTTAAAAGAAACACCTGTGAGTGCCTTAAAGTTGGAGCAATTACTGTTCAAGACCAGAGACAGGGATTCCAGTGCTCAGAAGCAGTGAGACTAGGCGGTGTCCATAGCAAAGGCCCCTCGATGGAGGGAAGAGACAGAAGAAGAAAGGTTCGAGGTGCCACTGCATGGCATCCAGGTCCACTGAAGCTGCCCTATCCCAGGCTTCCCAACGTGGTAAAATGAAACCAAGGTAAAGTGAAGAACTTAACTCTGTTAGAAATCTGCTCTTACTCTGCTCAAAGAAAATTTGAAACCTGTGAGTCAGAGTCAAGAAACTTGCCCAAGCAACATAATTCTTGTTTTATGGGTCCTATAGATGTTTGAGTCCAGAAAGTAAGGCAGTGGAGGTGACTGGATAAAATCTCCCTTTTTAATTTAGCATCTGAGGGCTGCAAATGCAGAAGGAATTTATTCTCGATAGGGCATAGGACATGCCCTGGCTTAATAAAATAGTTTAGGATGTGAGGCTCAAATATTCTGTATATGAACTACTACACTCAAGGCGGACACACAGGTGTACAGATTCGATCAGCAAGTGGACTCTGAGATCTACAGGGTGGAAGATTTGATCCATATGAGAACAGAATTTGTTTATTACAGGTATGAAAGCCTAAAGTATCTTTTTGCAAAAGAAATATTAAATAATTTAATAGTCTCCATATGTGTTACTGTTTCAAATGTGTTTGTATCATAATGTGTAACATAATTGTGTAACAAAAATGTCTACAATAAATCTTTTAGTATTTGTGGTGGGCTTTTCTGAGTTTGAAACACTAAGATAGGAGGTCAGAAAGCACGGGGATGAGGTGAAGGTAGAGGTTTTGGTGTCTTTAATTCCTCTACTTCTTTCCAAAAAAATTTGCAAGCTTGCAAGGTAAAGGATTACAATTACATAAAAGTCTAAAAAAAAAATTGGAAGATACATGTTGACCTTGTAGATAATCATTTCTGACAGCTTGGGGCAAAGGAAAACTGCATAAATGAGCTCAGTTTCCTCAAAGCCAAGGCAAAGAGGGACTTGGCTTCTGTTGTCTAACAAACATACTGGTTTATCTGGCAGGATAAAATTGGACTATGCTGAGGTCTGAAAGAAATTGCTCCTGTGACACAGTCCTTATGCTGTGACCATCTGCTATCATATAAAATAACAAAAAATGCAGAAACATAAGAGCTAAAGACTTTGACAGCTTTGGTTCTTTAAACGCAAGAATCTCTGCGAGGAGGCATTGTGGTACAGTTCAGGTGTGTAGCTCTCTGGGGACCAGACTTCACTTAGGTCCAAAATTGGGAAAGTTGAATATTTGAATAGTCTTGGGGAACAGGAATCACAGCGTGCTCAGGCTTGCCTTCATGAACGTTAATCATCTCAGTCAGGGTTTTGACAGGAGCTACAGAGCAGACAGATCAATGTTGCAGACAGTACCTTAAACAAGGACTCCATGTTATTGGTTCAATGAGACCAACAGTCAGCTTTGGGGCCTCTCTTGACCCTGTCCAAAGGGGAAGCTCTTCTGTTTGGGTGGCAAGGGCTGTAGGGCCACCATCCAGCAGGACCTAACTTTTCCCAAAAGCTGCTTGCTTAGAGTTTGGCCTAAAGTCCTAGAGTTCTGCTTGGTGGAGCAGAGATGGGATGAATGGCTTGGTCTCAGTGGCTGCAAGCCCATGGCGTGTGAAGGACCTGAGGGCTTTCTTATTAAAACCTGCAGTGCATCCCACGGCTGACTGAGGCAGCTGCTGCAGTGGTGACTGTGGCTATGGAATAATTAAGGTCGTACACTTTATTTTGGCCGAAATTAGCTAACAGATTGAACTGCTTTTTATTTTTAAAAACTTTTTTTACAGAATTAATACAAAATGCTTATTTTATAGAAATTTTAGCAAGTATCAAGTGTAAAAAATAAAAACTACCCATAATCCCCTTTTCGACGAGAGTCACTGTTAATATTCCAGTGCATTTCTGTCTTTGTGCACATCATATATGCATGTAAGACAGATGTGGGTTGCGACCACGTGGCTGAGGCTTGTCTCTGTTGCTCCTGGGTCACTCACTCAGCATGGTCTTAGGCCTTATTCAGACTTAAGCAAGTGGGAGGGCGTTTCTTAAGAACCCAGATGTCCTAATAATGGAGCCTCGTAAGAAGGCTGTCAAGTTGGGTGGAATGTTTGTGAAAAGCTGTCATAGTGCATTGCAAAGAGGTTCTTGGGCAGGGGTCCTCAAACTTTTTAAACAGGGGGCCAGTTCACTGTCCCTCAGATCGTTGGAGAGTGCACACTGTGGGCCCAGGAAGAGTTGGCTGCTAAGCAGGACAGGCAGCAGTGGCAAAAACACCTTGCGGGCGGATAAATGTCCTAGGTGGGCGGCATGTGGCCCACGGGCCGTAGATTGAGGATGCCTGTTCTTGGGCATGAAGTTTGCCTTGCAGAGGTCAGGCCTGGCTTGTCCTAGCTGAGGTACAGCAGGCTGACTGATCCATATGGCACAAGAACGAGTGGGCTTCCCAAGTGCCGTTCAGTGTGGTAGTGGGCAGGGGGAGGTGAGCAGCCGTGAGCACAGGGCAGCAAGTTGGAGAATGTTAGGGGCTGCAGATGGGAGTAGATGTGGCTCCCTGGGGAAGTGGGAAGGGATTGCTTAGACAGAAGAGAATTCTGACAGCTATACTTTCAGTCTACTTCAGACTGAAACAGGATCTGCACTTTTCACCCTCCTCTTCAGACTGGTTTGGTGACTCAGCCAGGAAGGGGAAACGGTGCTGGCAGACAAATCTGTGCTCTGGCTATTTACTGTCTTGAGCACCTTGCACATAAAATAAACACAGATGCTCATAGTAAGCCAACAGGTATAGATGTAGGATCCTCACTTTACAGATGAAGAAACGGAAGTTCACATTGCTCACAGCCGGCTAGTCAGTGGAGAAGCCAGGATTTCAGCCTGAAAAGAGCTTCACAGAGAGTCTGTTTACCACAGGCTCCTGGATGAGCATGTGGGAGAGGGGGGAAGTGAAAGGGGCACCTGGTGGGTTCTGTGGACAACACCACTGTGCCCTGCAGCCCACAGAGCGGGCGCTCAGGGTGGACAAGCTCCAAGGGATGCAGCAGCAGCCCTGTTACATTAAAGGCCTTACTTACCACCAAGAGATAGGATAAAAGTTATGAGAAGCCTCTTGTACTTATAATTTAAAGAAATTAAAAAATTTGAACAGTACATTTTTGCATTTTAGTAAAATCTGAGATTGTATGGTTAGTCTGTACATTTCCCACAGAATGCCCAGCAGGCAGTCTCTTTTTTCTTAGAAACATCTAACTGCAGGCAGGCCTTCCTCACTGAGTCTGAAATATTGGAGCCTTCTGTGTAAGCCTATGCTTCTGGCTTCCCTTTAAAGTGAGTCTCATCAAAGCATTTTCCTTGCTGGAATGAGAGGAAGGGCTGTGCCTGCCAGAGCTAGCACCTCTGAGGGGACGCTGCATGGGCAGCCAGAGCTGGAGACAAGGCTCTGAAACCTGAGTGCCACCACCTGCGGCTTAAATGCTCATCAGAGGAGCCTCCTGTGGGCTGGAGAGGAAGAAGAATCCAAAGGGAAATCCTGAAGCTTCCTTACCAAAAACTCTCCCAAGTTTGTGCCTCTAATCTTTAAGGAGAGATATAAACCCTTTAAATGTTTGTTTGAAGGGCTACTATGCAGTGAAGGGACCAGGCTAGTCCCATGCAGCCACACTGGCTAGAATTTATGGAGAAAGTTAGGAGAGAGCTTTCCGAAGACAATAAAATGCACTGCCTCCTCAACAGGTGGAGAGCCCTGGTCACTAAGTGAGAAGGGAAGGGGGGAGGGCGAGAGTTATGCAGATGACATTTTAAGGTCTTTCAGGGAATTAGCCCAATGCTACCTTCTTCCCCAAAATGCTCCCAGTTCTTACCTAGTGTGCATGGTAGTGCCCTTCCTAGTCATCCATGTTAGGGAAGGAAACTAATTAGTATTAATAATAATATGGGGGATTCAATATTTAGAGACCTATCACAAGGTAAATGTCATTCATTCAATCCCAAGAAATGTTTTGTTAAAACAGGATCATTTTGGTCATAAAGAAATTACGTCTTTGTAATGAAAGCCCTATGATTGATATTCTATTTCTTCTGGAAATTTCATCCTGGTCACTTAGCATTACCATGAGTCACACTACAAGTGATAACCTAAGATATCTTCTATAACTTAAACATGGAGCCATTTGTAGGAAGATCCAAGGATATCATCTTGGATTACCATAGGTTATAAAATTACCCAAATTATCATGCATCCTGGGAAAACCACCCAGAGTAGACATTGCTGGTTCTTTCAAGGACCTGACACGTCCACATTCCTCAGCCCCCATGGGCCAGTTCCATTCACAATCAAATCCATCCTTAAGTTCCTCAGACATAAAAGCTCAAGGATGGCCAGATGGCACTTAAAAACAGATGTGAAGCCTTCCACAAACTTCTTGAGGAAGAAGAAGATGGTTGAGGCCAAGCTGGGCTGGGTAGTGCCAGGTCCATCTGTGCCTCTGTTCTACAGCCCTGGTGACAGCAGCATTGAGGGGTCACGCCCTTCCCCCAGGAGAGGACCATGGCATGCTCTCAGGCCAGCCGCGGTGGCAATGGGTCCTGAGCCTGCCTCTCAGCACTGTGGCGCCCTGGCGCAGGTGGTCACACATTGAGAATCCGAGGAGCCGAAGCCTGAAAGATGGCTGAAGGGTTAGGAGTGAACTTCTTCCTCACCTCAGGGACCTGAAAAATGAAATGTGGCCATGTATCAGTGGGCTTTTTCCTTAACTACCCCTCGCCCCAGCTCCAGGAAAACATTTCCTCCTCATTGTCCTCCAGGAGTTTAGACTACTAACCTGCAGGGTGAGTGGGGGAGAATTATAGTGAGCAGTTGTCCCTGGCACGTAGACTTTCCATTCTGCTCCCTGAAGCCCCCTTTGGGTGGAATTGGGAAGCCAAACAGCCCCCACATCCCTTCTATCTTCTCCCACTTACACAAATGCTTGGGTATTTGGAATGGCCGTGGGTAAGACTGGGATTTAGGAGGCAGAGATAACCTGCTCATCGAAGAAGGCAAGCTTAGGGGAGCACCCACCTGGCTAATGACAAGAAATACCTAGGTTTTCTGTTTGTTGGGGACGATTGGTTGGGCACTGCTGTCGTTGGCCATAATGCCATTTTACACCATCATAATCTGACGCCTAATCCCTAGCCTGGGTAAAGGCCTCTGTAACCACGCCCCTGCAGCACCAGCTTCAGGCTGACCTGGAAGCTCGCCCCAGGGCTGCTGTCCCATCCAGATGTGTGGGTAGTGATGACTCTGGCTGGTTTTGCCTTTGTGGATCTTGAGGGTTTCACTGCAGTCCAAGCCTGGAACTCTTGCCTGGAATAGAGAATACAAGTCACAACCTGGCACAGGTCAGCCATCCCCTCCCCTGCTCGTTGGGTCACTGCTCTGTCCTTGCTTCTTGGAATGTCATGACCCTGTAACTACAGAGCTGCTTCAGTTCCCGATAGTCCTGTATCCCCCTCACAAAGAGAACCGAGCACAGGTGCACCCCTCACACAGACGGCCCGGCTCGGGGAGCATGCACTCTGCGGCTGCCCTGCCTTCACCTCCGAATGCTCCACAGGGGAGTCTGGCTCACCTTGTCTCCCAGGGCAGTAGGAAAGGAGTCTTAGGGCAGAGCTCAGCACCTGGGTCTCCTTCCTCCAGAAACCCGCCCTCACCTGGTTCTATGCTGGGTCTCAGCCAGCTCGCACTAGGATGCTTTGTGCTGTCTCCAGGACCCCCCAAAATTCCTCTGCAGCTGCCTGCCCAGAAGCCAGGCCATTTTGAGGGGCCCCAGAGGCCCAGAACCAGTGAACGCCTGCTGCGTCCAGCCCAGGTCACTAGTCGCCACTTACGTCCCTAGGAGGTGCTGAGCTGGACAGCACCTGGCACAGCCAAGGCCCTCTGTACTTGGTTATAACTGAAAATAAAACTCAGGCTCAGTATTCCGCTAGTTTTTTTTATACTTTATCTTACGCAAAAGAGGATGAATTGTAGTGACCATCTGAAACACCTATTATAGAAGATGGTCTGGCTTTGCACAGCTCTGCGTGCTGGAGAGAGCGGGTCCCTGGTCTCGAATGAGCGTGCGGGAAGGGAGGGTGGGCTGATGGGGGAAAGCTGGTCCCCTGGGGGGAGATGACAAGGCTGGTACAACCTAGCTCCATGCCCTGGGAGCAGCTTTCTTGGCGAAAAGACTGAGTTCCTCTATTTCTCTGACAAAAGAGACCTGTTTTGTCCACCAAGTCCCCTGCTAGATGGTGGGCTCAGGAAGGCAGAGACGCCTGTGTCCACAGGAGCACCTGGCCGAGGTGATGTGGAAAGGCATCGGCTGGCCAGGGCCAGAACCCGCACGTGCCCTGGGTTGCTCTTTGTTGCTTTAGGCCCTCAGGTCAACAAAGCTGCCTTTTCTTCTCAGCATCAGCACAGCTGGGAGCGGCTGTGTCTGTCCGTGGGCAGCACTCCGGGACGCTTAGGGTGCCAGGTGGAGAGCTGGGCCAGGGCCCTATCAGGTGATTTTGCTTCTGAAGCTGCAAGGTTCTAAAGACCAGCTGCCCAAACCATCTGCTGCTCTGTTTCTCCTGGGGAAGCAGGTCCTCCCCTGGGTGTGCCCATCTGTCCCCAAACCACACCTCATGGCTGAGCTGAGCCTTGGGCCTGGCAGATTGAGCCTGCTCCCCGGAGGTGGCTGTAGGGGTCCCAGGGCAGAAAGTGACCAGAGACACCTGCTAGAGCAATCACTGTGGCTGCCGGAGGAGGGGCCCAGGTCAGAGGGGGCTGCAGGGGCAATAGAGAAGGGACATCAAAGATAGAATCAGCAGGGCCTGGTGACTGCCCATGAGAGGACGGCGACAGACTGATGGCTCAGGCCAAGATTAGTAAAACATACAGGCCTTGCTGTGCCTTGGCAGTGTTCCACCCGTGCTCCAGCGTCCTGCCCTCCTGGGCCTCAGCTGCACCCTGCGGGCTGCGATCCCTCCCACTGGGGGGGCAGGGGCTATCTGGGGCAACACCGGGAGCCCTGGATGGAGGACCAGGAGGCCTGGGTTCTCAGCCCAATGTGGCTTCAGACAGATTCTTTAACTTCTCTGAGCCTCACTTTCTTCAGAAAAGCGGGGGTGCTGATCCGTGTGCATGAGGTTACTATGGGGGAAAAAGTCTTGTGGAACTTAGGTTAGCCCTTTGACCTTCCTAGGAAGGAAGGCTGGAAATGACCAAGGAGTTAGGGGCTTGTCCTCCAGAAGCAGGTGGGGCTAGAACCTGGGCCAGAGGCGCTGAACAGCCCAGAGAGCGGAATTCCGTGGGGGGGGCGGGGGTTAGGACTAGGGCAGCCACGGGGAGGACGGGTGTGCCCACCTGGCCAGGTGAGCAAGGCAGGACAGTTATCACGTGGAGACCTGAAGATGGGCGAGGCAGGACCTGCTGGGGAGGAGAGGTTGAAGCCTAGGGGTCTCTGGAACTCAAGAACCCTGGGTCAGGAGTGGCCACACATCTACTCTGAAATCTGGGGTTCCTGGATCTGTTCATTCCCTTGGCTTTCTGAATTTAACATTTGCTTAGATGATGTGCATCTTGCAAAACGGAAGGCAGGATAGGGTTGCTCATGCCAGATCCCAGAGCTAGAGGTGAGGGGCCCAGAGGCCAGCTGGCGTGGCACCTGGGGGGTGAGGGGGGGCAAATTCAATGGTGATCCTGTGTTTCTGCCCATATTTGGGGGTGGGGAGTCAGCAGGGTCTGGGCAGCCAAGCTCTTGCTATTCCTGCTTTACAGATGAGGACAGGGTCAGCAAGGCTGAGTGATACCCCACCCCAAGTTTATACACCAGGAAGTGAGAGCCCCCCCCCTGAGCCCCAGCTCCTGTCATGGCTTTTCTACCGATGGCTTCAGCACACAGTTCAAGAAACTGATTGTGAGGAGGCAGCTCTTATGGGATAACCCGTGGGGGCTACAGATTTGGTCTCTGAGCAAGACAGACTCTGGTTCCACTCCTTTCTCTGCCATTTGGAGCAGCGCCAGCCACTCAGTTTCCTCCTGTGCAGAATGGGCACAGCTATCACTGAACACAGGCCTCAGGGAGCTAATCCACCGGACGTGGGTGTGCGGGGATGTGCTAAAGCAGAGAAAGCAATAACTAGCACCTTTACTTGCACCGGAGCTGGGAGCACCCGGCAGGATGTTCCAACTCGCCACGTGCTCCCCACAGGTGAGGAGCCGCCTCTAAAAGCTCAGCCTCTGCCGGCACATCCCAGTGAGCAGGAGCTCAGCACACACGAGGCAGCTCACTGCACGTCAGCGAGTTCTACTTGGTAAAAAATGCTTCCTTCCAGAAGCTGAAGCTTCCTGCCTGCAAGTTCCACCCTTGTCCTGTTCTGGCATCTCGATGTCAGCCACTGGAAGGTACAGCATGCCCAGGACCTCTGGCCTTCCAGCCCTCAATTCAGGGCCCTGCAGCTGGGCCAGGTCCCCATTACAGGCCATCAGGCCTGGCTATGGCCAGCGCGCCGTGCCTGTGTCTGCTGTGCCAGCTGCAGTCCCACGCGAGTTTCAGCAGCTCAGCTTGAGCACGCGTCAGTGAGTGCGAGACCCACCTGCAGCCACTGCAGCCACCGCCCCCACCGAGTAAGCAGTGCACACCGATGAAGGAAGCTCCTAGGGAGATGGAATTCTGTGTCTTGATAATGGTAGCCCAGGTGGATACATTTGTCAAAAGTCATGAGCTGTACACACTATTTATTTATTTATTTATTTTTTTTTTTTTTGAGACAGAGTCTCATTCTGTTGCCCAGGCTAGAGTGAGTGCCGTGGCGTCAGCCTAGCTCACAGCAACCTCAAACTCCTGGCTCAAGCAATCCTCCTGCTTCAGCCTCCCAAGTAGCTGGGACTACAGGCATTCGCCACCATGCCTGGCTAATTTTTTGTATATATTAGTTGGCCAATTAATTTCTTTCTATTTATAGTAGAGATGGGGTCTCGCTCTTGCTCAGGCTGGTTTCGAACTCCTGACCTCGAGCAATCCGCCCGCCTCAGCCTCCCAGAGAGCTAGGATTACAGGCGTGAGCCACCGCGCCCGGCCTGTACACACTATTTATAATCAGTGAGTTCTACACTATGGAAAGTATGCCTTGATGCAAGTTGGTTTTTTAAAAAAATAAATTGGGAGAAGTTCATACCTTTTGGCTCTTTAATTCCATAGGTAGTAATTTATCCATAAGAAATTATGGCATGAACAAAGATTTAGCTACAAAGATGCTTATCACTGAAGTTTTTTTTTTTCTTTAAAAAAAATTTTTAAAGGCGTAATACATGTTAAAAAAAAAAAAAAGCAATGGTTCAAAAGAGTAAAGTGAGAGGTCTCCATCCACCCCTGACAGCCCCCATTGCTCCCCAAAGTTGCTCTCTCCAAAGGTTGCATCTCCTATATCCATCGGAGATACCCTGTGCTTAGTTGAATATGTATGTGTATGTTAATATCCTTTCTAGAACACAAATAGCATACATGCTGTTCTGCACCTGGCATTTTTGACATGTACACATTTAAGACCTGTTATCAGTGCCTGCAGGGCTTCAGTGCTGTAATTAACCAGTCCCCTGCATCAGTAGGGCAGCAGGGTTGTGTAAGGTGGCTGTACTCTGATTTGATGTACCTTATACCTTGATCTCCCACCCCCTTTTAGGGTGCCTGTAGGGAAAATTCCTAGAAGTGAAATGGCTGCATCAAAGGAATAGTAGCTAGCGCTTTCAATACCCCAATTAGAAATACCCTACAAGTCAATGAGGGAGCAGATAAGTAATATTTGAAGATACAGATGTATATTCATAGGATAAAAATACTGCACATTTATTAAAATTCATGATGTAGAAGAACATCTAGTAACATGGACAGACATCCACAGTAGGGGAAAAATAATGTGTACAGTAAAAATCTAACCACGTAAAAGCACATAAATGCTGTGTACTCAAGTGCACATTAAGGATTAGAAAGAATGACCAGTTTGGGTTTAAAGATTAAGGGGATATTTGTTTTATTTGTCATAATTTCTACAATTGCCTATTTTCTACAATGAGTATGAACTACTTTTTTAATAAGAGAAAAGGGAGGAGCCCCCAGTTGCCCAGGAGCCGAGCTGGGCTTGGCGGCGGGAGGATGGGCAGACCCGGAGGTGAAAGCCCCGTCAGCAGCCCTCGGTCGTCAGTGGGATCCTGCAGGGCCCCCACGCGGGACAGTGCGCTCAGTGCTCACCACCAACGCCCCCACAGAGGGCACTCCGCAAGGGAGCCGGGGGTTTGGCCTGCACGCACCCCTCCTACGGCTGGGCCCACCCGGCGGAAGTTAAAGGGAAGCAGATTTCAACTCAGTTGAAGGCAGGCCGTTCTGACAAGGCTGCCCGAGAAGGGAGCAGGCTGTGAGCGAGGGAGTGAGCTCCCCGTCAGTGGAGGTGCTCGTGCACTCACAGTTTGGGCAGGAGCAGCGAAAGCGGCGCCCGCAGTGCCCAGGCACCAAAGGGGGTGACCTGCGAAGCCGCCTGCAGCTCCCGAGGTTGTGCGGGACCGGGGCTCCAGGCTCATCCCGTCTCTCCCCGCCTCCGTCCTCCCACCACGGGGTCTGGACACCGTGCATTCGCCAGCCCAGCCCCGTACCTGTACGATGTGGTCGCTGCTGCAGCCGCGTCCGCGTCGCCGACGGGCAGCACGTAGACGCCCCGGCCAGGGGGCGCGGAGGGCTTGCCCCTGCGGCCGCCCGCCCCGGGCCCGCGCCCCTGCGGCGCGTCCCTGGGCCCCGCGGGCGCCGTCCACACGCCGAAGTCCCGCTGGTACTGGGTGAGCGGCACGTCCCGGCCGGGGGCCCGGTCGCCCGCGGGGGACTGGCCCCTGCGCGAGGCGGCGCCGCCCGGGCCCGGCTCCTCGTTCTCGAGGTCCGAGTAGCCGTGCAGGGTCAGCGGCACAGCCACGTCGGAGCGGTCCAGCTGGTTCCAGCGCCGCGCCAGGCAGCACAGGCGGCTGATGCAGGGCCACGCCATGCCGGCCGGCGCCCGCTCCCGCTCCCCGCGCGCCCGGCCGCGCCGCCCCCGCCCGGCGGCCCCGCCCCCGCGGCCCTCCCCGCGCGCCGCAGCGCCGCCCCTGGCCTGGGGTGGGGGACTCCGCGAGCCGGGCTGGCTGGCAGCGCCGCCCCTGGCCTGGGGTGGGGGACTCCGCGAGCCGGGCTCGCTGGCAGCGCCGCGTGGCCGCCGGCTGCGTGCGGCCGGAGCAGGACTCCAGCCGGAGAGCGGGGACAGGGGGAAGATTGCACAGTCACCAGGGGGCACCTGAAACCGCCTGAGGCCATTTACAGATGTCCAACTTGAAGGATGTCTCATTAGGAATCCCGAGTTCCCTAAATGTTTTTTTATAACTCGACCTGGCTTCGCAGAGGCCGAGGGCCAGATGGCGACAGTTCTAACTAATCGCCCTCGACCCGCAGCCAGATGCAATCAGCCTGCCGTGTCCGGGAGGGTCTCTGCTTGGTCGCCGCTGGGCGACTCGTGCATTTGTGCTAGGGCTGCACTGCGGGGACCCAGCGGGCACGAAGGGAGGTGCAGCGAGGAGGGTATCACAGGGAAGACTGGGCCATGCTTCCCAAAGAACCCATGTTTGAATCAGCCTGTTAGTCACCGCCTATTTGGCTTTCCAATACTAGTCATGACGGCTAGTCATGATGCTACCTGTGACAACCAATCCAGTTTTCATTAAGAATTGGCGTTAGCAACCAACTCACTTTTCCCTGGGTTATAAAATCCCTAACTTTAAGGCATGGTCCAAAGGTTTAAGTTTTATAAAGCTGTCACAAAACTTTGGCCACTGGGCTATAAAGTTCCTTTCCCACCTGTGATGCATTACTTTTAATGCAGAGCTACGTTTGAACAATCATCCAGGTTAAAGGTCAGTCTTTTTAATGCAGGAGACGGTATCAGAAACAACTCCCTGCCCACACTGGAAAGGCTTTGCGTATTTGACACATGCCCTCAATATGCACTGCAGACCAATTACTAATAATGCTCTTGTAACAGCATTAATGACCCAGAACTCTGTCTCCAGGCTACACTTGGAAGGTATCCAGTCAGCACCTCAGAGGAAAGGACTGCGGTGCAGCCCTGGCCAGCCAGAGAACAAACTCATCTCCCAAAACACTGCTGGTCTTAGCTTAAAGTCATAGCAAAGTGTCGGCGGCGGGTCAGCTGAGCGGGCCAGGAGGGAAGCCACATGCACGGTGAAGACACTGGAAGGTGACACACCAGCGCCCCAGGTCCAGAACAAGCTGCCTTTGTCTGTAAACTGTGTGTGCCATGGCCCTGGGTTAGCCAGGCTGGCAGATGATGCTTGGTGACAAAGATACTCTGCTCTGCAGGGAAAAAAGACCAGCTCTTTTTTTTTTACTTCTTTCGTCAACCTACGTGCGAGGAATAATGCTGGGTGCCTTCAGGTTTAGTGTGGTGGCAACAGACATGGAAGAACGTGTAATAGGACTGATAAAATCAGGACAGTGTAAGGAGGGACAAGGGACAGGGAAGGCTGGACTTGCCACCTGTCATGAGGGACAGTGGTTGGACCAGTGGGAAGACAAGGCACAGGGATGAGGGTCCCGCCAGACGTAGCAGAGACCAAACCATGGAGGGCCTTGGTGACCACATTAAGGAGCTTAAAAGTTTTTCATAAGTGACAACATGTGACAAGTGTTTGTAGCACTCTGGCAGCCATGTGAAGAAGTACAAGGACACCTTAGAGACCAGCTGGAAGAACAGTCCTAACAGCCCAGGGACTGGGGAGATGAGGGACGACACTAAGGCACAGGCACTGGATGTGGAGAGGGCCTGGATTCTGGAAGTAAGAGGCCAGATGGGGAAATCTAGAATGGCTCCCAGTTTCTGACTTCAGTGACTGGTGACATCACTCCTTAAGCCAAGAGTAATATTTGAGCTACCTGGGCAGTAGGGTACCAGCACCCAGAGCCACATGCATGTTGCAGTAGATACATTTACTAAATTGCAGTCCAGAGATGTTCAGTGGGTCTAGAGTGGAGAAAGCACCCTAACTCAGACGACTGAAGCCACAGAGGTGCACCCACTTGAGAAGTGCATGCAGAATGAGGCGAGACAATGGCCAAGGGTGCATTCCTGGGGACCCCACACTTAAGAAGCCAGTGGAGGAGGCAGTACCTCCCAAGAAGCTCCCAAGCCAGAGAGAGATGGGCTTGGTGGCTGTGGTCAAGTGTCAGTAGAGAAGCCAAGATGAGAAATAGGATACCCTGGTGGGCAGCTAGGCGAGTGGGCCCATTACCAGCAAGGCTTGTGCAGCCAGAGTGAAGCTCTCATCTCCCAAGGCCACTCCCGGGGAAAATGGTAATTGGCGGGACAGAGGCTCCAGCATTGAGGGATTTTATGGACAGGAAAGTGCTTCAGGGACTTCTAAACACTCCTTCTCTGTCACAAAGCAAGGACAGAAGAAATGTCTTCATTGCCTCTTCCCCTGCTCTGCCCAAAGCAAGATGTGAATTTTGGACCCTATGGGGAATGTCCATGTGAACTCAGCCTCCAATCCCATCTCTGGAAAACAAATCTTGCCTCATCTCTACAGCACAGGCTTGTTGGCAAGACACATTCAGAAATGTTAGAGCAGCTGGGCGTGGTGGCTCACACCTATAATCCCGGCACTTTGGGAGGCTGAGGATCACTTGAGCCCAGGAGTTGGAGGTTGCTGTGAGCTATGATCACGCCACTCCACTCCAGCCTGTGCAACAGAGTGGGACCCTGCCTGTCTCAAAAAAAAAAAAAAAAAGAAAGAAAGAAAGAAAAATAAATGTCAGGGTCTCTCCTTGCAGCGGCTGCACAAGAGCAGAGTATGAGCTGTGGTGGTGGGAGTCATGGCAGGACAAGCATTTAGAAAGTTTCTTCCGCTTTTTGACCAAGTATTGCTTGGAAGGAATGTAGCCGAAACTGTAACCAAAGGAGGCATTATGCTTCCAGAAAAATCTCTAGGAAAAGTATTGCAAGCAACAGTATTGGCTGCTGGATCAGGCTATAAAGGAAAGGGTGGAGAGATTCAACCAATTAGTGTGAAAGTTGGAGATAATGTTCTCCCAGAATGTGGAGGAACCAAAGTAGTTCTAGATGACAAGGATTATTTATGTAGAGATAGTGACATTCTTGGAAAATATGAGGACTGAAATAAATCACTATTGATTTGGCACCGACTTGAAGCTGCCCATTCGGCCGAGTTCTGAAATCTCTTGTCTTGTAAATTTCCATGTCTCTTTTATAATAAACTCTTTTATAATACCTGAACTCCTGACACCCAGTGTCTAAAATCTAGTTTCACTGTAGTGATACAAACATTTCCAAATGAAAATATATAAATAAAAAAAAGAAAAATGCCAGAGCAAAGCAGTGTGACCTTGGGCAGTGCCCCTCTCCCCACACCTCCCCTGCTTCCTTACAGGCAAAATGAGGGCTGGGTTAAGAAAACTCTCTCTCCTAGAAGTGATACTAGTTTAAAATAGAATCCTGTGCCAGGTAACAGTAACTGGAATTTCACAGTAGAGACGAGTCCAGCTGGGTGGAAAAGGATATGAAGAACTGCCAAAAACTGGACAATTTCTGTGCAGGGCATGCTGCCATCCGGTTCTCCACCTGGCGAGGTGGGACGACTCCCACGCCCTTTCACCAAGCCCACTGCCCAGATGGCCAGTCGTGTGCAACTTGAGGCCAATTATCCAGACGAGGCTGACATCTGGCCTTCACTCGCCATCAGTGCAAAGGTATAAAATTTGGTGTAACATTTTCTGACCACCAGAAGACTGAAAACTATCCTGTAAATCCTTTAAAGAAAAACCAACTCTCAAATTGCATGTCTAGACATACTTGTCAACCGTGAGGACACTGAGTTCTACTACAGAGAGGCTATGATGATGACCACAGTTGCTATTTCGGTAAGATTTTTCAATTAGAATGTACATTTTCAGACATAAGATGCAATTTGGCTCAGACTCATGTCTGAATTTATCCAAGTCACTTCATTCTACTTCTTAATTTATCTACGATTTTAACCTAGAAAGCAAAGCTTAAAAATAGCTTTTCGTATATGCCACTCACTGCCAGAAATCATTACCTTTCTTGGGAAAATTTAGAAAATACTGCAGCTATTATTTCAGACCATGCCATAGAGAAGATACTGTGACTTTTTTGGGGAAAGGGGGGGGGGTCTTCTGGTGAGGACCAGAAAACCTGCTAGACAGATTCTCAAAGAACTGTAACACTATGATACTGAGACTTTTGACTGTCAGCCAAACCAGGGAAGGGGTAGGTGAGAGTGAATGCTCTAAACAGAGGTGCTAGAGCCCGTGGACAAATGCCAGCACCTCAGCGTTTCGATTAGGCCTTTCAACATGCACTGTGCCCAGGTCCCCAGCTCAAACTACGTCAATACAACAACCGAAAGCAAGATGCCAGAGAAGCATCCATGCTCTTAAAGAGAAAACACACACCTGGCCGGGCGTGGTGGCTCTCGCCTGTAATCCTAGCACTCTGGGAGGCCGAGGCGGGCAGATTGCTCAAGGTCTGGAGTTCTAAACCAGCCTGAGCAAGAGCGAGACCCCGTCTCTACTATAAACAGAAAGAAATTAATTGGCCAACTAATATATATAGAGAAAAAAATTAGCCGGGCATGGTGGCACATGTCTATAGTCCCAGCTACTTGAGAGGCTGAGGCAAGAGGATTGCTTGAGCCCAGGAGTTTGAGGTTGCTGTGAGCTAGGCTGACGCCACGGCACTCGCTCTAGCCTGGGCAACAAAGTAAGACTCTGTCTCAAAAAAAAAAGAGAAAACACACACCCTCCGCTTACAAACTAGAGATATAAACCTTTATTTCCAACTTTGTCATAATTCACTTTATAGTAAGACATGGACTGGGGGACACGGTTTAAATCGTGGGGAGTCCAGATGCAGGTGTCTTCCAAGCCGGAGCACAGACGTGGTCACTCCCGGGCCCAGGTGCTCCTGGGGCTCCCAGGCAGCGTGGCCCAGATGCTCCAGTACTGTCCAAGCCCAGTTTTACTTAGAGCCACCACCTTTTTTGGGGCCATTAGTCCTCATTTCATGCCAGATTTTCACTAGAGGCTCCCTGTTCTTCCAAATGAGTTCATAACCATAAGTAACATACCATCTGGAGAAAAAAACAAACCAGGTCTGACAATTAAATAGTGTAACATACAAATGGTAAGTACTATGATGATATCAAGTTGACATTTTTAAAATTGAATGCCACTGTCAATTACAATGTAGCTTATTAAAACAACCAATTTATATTATGTAGATAAATAATTTGGCTTTAATATATAGAGTATGTAAAAGTTCTAAGTAGGGTGAGCCGATGGCTGAATGCTCTGAAATGTGTAAGTACTTCACGTATACTTTATTCACCACTACCCTGCAAGTATCACTTTTCCCTTTATACATATGAGGAAACCAAGTCTGAAAGAAAGTAATTTGCCCAAGGCGCTAGGAGTTAACAAGGACTCACCCGCATCCCGACTCCATGTTCTGAAATGTCAGGCAGGACTTACTGATGATGGCTGTGACAGCTTGCATGCCTCCTGACAGCACCCACCCAGCCACCCAAAGGGTGGGCTGCTCGTCTAAGTTCTGCCCACCCTTTAAGATAAACAGTTTCGATCCTCCTTCTGTTCAAAACTGTCTAAAAGCAGCCTGAAGCGATGAACCAAGACAGCAGAAGTGCTACGGTTTGGTAAATTCACTGGCTCAGTCTCTACAACTAGGAATCACTAGACTAAAACTAGAACCCAAAACTGACTCTGAAGCCTGTACTCTAACCACTGTGCGTTTAGGAAGCATCTTCTGTGAGCCGAGACTGAGAGGGCCTGTCTTTACACAGGGTGCAAGTGTAACTTAGGCGGCACCGCCTCCCCTCAAGGACAAGGTGGAAGCTGGAAAGGCTTCCCAGAGGACAAGGGGTTGACTTGGAATGGCAGTTAATGAAAGCTTTTATTATTGAAACCTTTATTTTTGTCCTGGTTTCCCCCAAACAGATTTCATGTTCCCAGAGACTAGATTTTGTTGATCTTGCATCTCCCAGAGCATTAAAAAATGCTCTATTTGACTTAGATTATATAACAATAGCAGTTAAATGTTTTAACATTTTTTAAATGTTCTAAACATGTATTTTTTTATTATGAAGCAGTTTAAGACAGGCACAATGTCTCCATGCCTTTAATCCTAGCACTTTGGGAGGCTGAGGTGGGAGGATTGCTGAAGGCCAGCCTGGGCAACATACCGAGACCTCATCTCTACCAAAAATATATTTGTACCTGAAACGTAATGTTCACTAAATATAATTAAAATCTGATTATGAAAATACAGTTACCATTAAAATCTTGAAAAAGAAAGAAAAGTCCCAAAGAAAATATTCAGTAAATTTTTTAAAAAAATGCAAATTAATAGGCTTATAAAAATTATTTGTGCTTATTGTAAAATTCTCTGAATTTTGAACAAGATAAAAAGGATCATCCTAAGATTGAAATGCAATTGTAAAAATTCTCACAAGAAATGAATCACTAGTCAGGAACTCTCCCATTAATAAACTGTTCCCCAATTTTCTTTTTCTTTTTTTTTTTTTTTTGAGACAGAGTCTTGCTTTGTTGCCCTCGGTAGAGTGCAGTGGTGTCATCATAGCTCACAGCAACCTCAAACTCTTGGGCTTAAGCGATCCTCCTGCCTCAGCCTACCGAGTAGCTGGGACTACAGGTGTGCGCCATGACACCTGGCTAATTTTTCTATTTTTAGTAGAGATGGGGTCTTCCTCTTGCTCAGGCTGGTCTCCCCATATGAAGTCTCCCCATATGAACTCCCCATATGAAGCAACCCTCCAGCCTCGGCCTTCCTGAGTGCTAGGATTACTGCCATCCAGCCCTTCCCAAATCTTTTAAACTTACTTATTTCAAGCAAAGAGTTAAACATTTTAATCTTACAGGTACATTGTTCGGATTATACTTGTAAATCCAAATGTAACTGGCTGTTTGACTAAACTAAAATTAGAAAATAATTCTAAATGACTAATGTCAGAGGAACTCTTTTTTACAGTAGCAGCAGCCTAACAATCTAGTGCTTGGTCTGAAACTCCAGCTCTGCAATTATTAGCTGTGTGAACTTGGACAAGCTCTTTCTTTAAGCAATTTCCTTATCTGTAAAATGGAATACTTCACAGGATTGTAAGAATATTAAATTAGACCTTGCCTCATAGAATTCTATGAGAATCAAAGTCCTTAGCTTAGGCACACAGCAAATATTCAATATATGTTAGCTATTATTGCAACACTACAACATGAAGACTGTAAGATTTGGTCAGAAACAAAGTCAGGGAAATGTGTAAGTGGATACTAAAGGAATCTTTACCATCAACAAAATTAGGACACTTTAAAAAAAATTTTAGATTTCTAAATCTAGATAAAGCTGTTAACGAAAAGGTGAATTCTGGATATGACTGAGATCTAGTAAATGAAAAGGAGTTGAAATTAGAAACAGCAAAGAGAAAGGATTCCTCTGCCTTTCAGATCCTGGACTTTAAAATGTATCTGATCCAATTATTTTCAGAATGGAAAAAGATCATCTAATTATAGTTCAAAAGTATAAAAACCTGCTAGAGAGAAGACCCTTGAAGTATACATGGAAAGATCTAGATAAATTTAGAGCTTATAAAATAGAACCCCTTTTCATAAGTCTTTGTGTTTCTCATATTGTAATATTAGGTCAGTTTCTACTATTTATAATGTGCTGCTGTTAAAGCTAGAACTCACATATGCTATTCTTTAATCATCACTGAAAATTATAAATGGCATAATGGCATTTAGTCCTGCTGCCTACTGGGCAAAACTGCTTCACTTAAAATAGATTTTTCTATTTTTTAAATTAGAAAACCTAAGTTTTCCACTGTCATGAAACAAAGTAAAAACCAAGTAAGGTCAAAAGGCAACATTTATGCAAGAAAAATAGGCCATTAGGGGATCCAGCACAGCAGACAGACAACAGCTCTGCTGAAGGGTCTTGGTCAGATGGGCTCCAAGTGTCCTGAGGATGTTTCCACCATAGAATTGCTATTAAACTACTAGGTTTTAAGCAAAATCCTGTTGTCTGAAGCACAAATAGAAGCTCTTGTAACCACAATGCCAGTTGTATTCAATATGGTGTGATGAGGGTGGGAAGGGCTCTGGGTTTGGCTTTAAATCTCTGCCTTTTTTTTTTTTTTTGAGACAGAGTCTCGCTTTGTTGCCCAGGCTAGAGTGAGTGCCGTGGCGTCAGCCTAGCTCACAGCAACCTCAAACTCCTGGGTCAAGCAATCCTTCTGCTCAGCCTCCGAGTAGCTGGGACTACAGGCATGCACCACCATGCCGCCTAATTTTTCAATATATACTATATACTATATATATATATTAGTTGGCCAACTGATTTCTTTCTATTTATAGTAGAGACAGGGTCTCGCTCTTGCTCAGGCTGGTTTCAAACTCCTGACCTCGAGCAATCCACCCGTCTGGGCCTCCCAGAGTGCTGGGATTACAGGTATAAGCCACCATGCCCAGCCTAAATCTTTGCTATTTAAGAGCTGCTAGGTGTGGGGAAGATCACTTCTGAGCCTGTTTTCCATCAGTAAAATGGGAGTAATAACAGTATAATGCAAGGTAACTAGCTTGGTGCCCACATATAACACATGCTCAGTAAGTGGTCCATGTTGGCTTATGTCCCTGGCCTCTATTCCAGTCATGCAGCTTTCTCCCACACACTCACTGCAGGCAGAGAAATGGTGCCACCAACTCAGCGTATCTGCACGGCACTGGTGAGACAGAGGTCAGTGGCAGTTGGGTGGGATGCCAGGCAAGAACGCCTGGAGCAGAGGAAAGGAGACGATAAGACAGACTTGGGGCCATGCAGCAGTCTCTAAGAAGGGCTAGGAATAATGACAGGTCAGGAATGGGGATGACTTAAGCTTAAGGGTAAGCAAGACACAGACTCTTCTCCTACAAATGACCAAGGCAGAGACAGGGCTGATATTCTCACATCCCACCTCACCTAGTGAAACTAACCCTTACCTGTTCCTGCTTCCATCACACAGCTAAGTAAGTCTCTCTCACTCTTCTCTCCAGAGCAGGGAGAAGGAGGGAGGGATGACCCAAGGAAGCGGATTAGCAATCAATTATGCTCAAACTTACATTCCAAAGAGAGCTCCCCCAAGATGTGCTGCATGATCAAAAAATTTCCATCCCAGGATCATCCCCACTGTATCCATGGCAATAATGGCTTTTAGGGCCTGAAAGACAGCAAGAGAGAATAGAAGTGGTACACTACTTTGATTTCTCTACTATTGACAGTTCTAACATAAGGGCAAGAATTCAGCCAACATAAAAACATCACCACTGTCACTAGAACTTCACTTCAAAAAAATACTTACATTCCCTGCTGTGAAGGTGAACATCGGAAGGAAGATAATGGCGAGCCTCCCTTCTGGGATCTTAGTGCAGACAGCTGCGAGGACGGTCATGATTGCACCAGACTGCAAAGTAACACAGTGAGGACAACAGGAAACTCAATGTGCAACTGCTTAGTGGCTATAATGTCTAAAGGAGTGGCACTTTTCCTGAAAAGTTTGTATGCACATGTTTCTAGGTGAGCAAAAAGCTTAAAAGCTTTCAGTTACACAGGTACACAGTATTAGGTAAAGGGGCTCCAGGTCCTTCACACAGTAATTGCTTGGAAAAGACTGAACTTTCATTACAGGCCAGTAGGCGTAATAACGACCAGCATGTGAGTGTTTCCTGAACTTCAAGGATAGCAGTAAGTGCATCACATGCATCATTTCATATATTGTCTAAGAAAGAACTTCTCAAACTTCTCCAACAAAGCTCCCCCAACTGGAGACAGTGAGCATGAATTTGCCCAAAGAAACCCACATACATGGAATTTCTTTCACTCAAATACTTGCATCCGACATAGTGTCACAGGCCCTATGCTAGATGCTAGGGATACAGAGGAACAAGACCTACAGTCTCTGCCTTCATGGAGCTTATTGCACAACAAGAGAGACATAGGTAAAACAACAAAATATGGCAAGTTACGATGAGGAAGTACACCATGCTCTGACAGTACATGGAAGGGAGAGCTAATGTCACCACAAGGTAAATAAGTGACGGCAAGCTTTGCATGGAAGAGTGACCAGATGTTGGCCAAGGAAAGGAAGAAGAGATGGGAAGAGTGTTCTAGGCAAAAGAACAGCATAAGCCAAGGCTGGAGGTCAGTGAGCACAGCATGGCGGAGAAGCGCAAAGGAGTGAGTGTGGCTCGAGTGTGGAATGTGGTTGATAAACAAGGAGAGAGTGAAGGGAGGCAGGTGTTCTAATTTAGTTTGTTTTCTACCCAATTTCATAGCAGAGCAAATCTTAGTCACCTATTAAAAATAATAAAACTACCATGAGAAACATTCTACAAAATACCTTCCTGCCATTCTTCAAAATTATCAGGGTCGTGAAGGATGAGGAAAGACTGAATACTGTCACAGATCGGAGGAGACTAAAAAGGCAGGATAATTAAAGGCAATGTAGCATACTGGGATATAAAAGGATATGGGAAGACTGGGGAAATCCCAATATAGTCTGTAGTTAATGGTACTAATTCCATGTTATTTCCTAGATTTGCTAGGTGTGGTGGGTCACACTCCATAATCCCAGCACTCTGGGAGGCTGAGGCAGGAGGATCGCTTGAGGCCAGGAGTTTGAGACCTGCCTGGGCAACATAGCAAGACTCATCTTTACAAAAAGTAGAAAAATTAGCCAGGCATGGTGTCATGCACCTGTAGTTCCAGCTACTCAGGAGGCTGAAGCAGAAGGATCACTTGAGCCCAGGAGTTTGAATCTGCAGTGAGCTACGATCATACCACTATATCCCAATGTGGGCAATAAAGCAAGACCTTGTCTCTAAAAAACAAAAAAATTCCCAGATTTGGTAAGTGAGCCATGGTCAGGGAAGATGTTAACATTAGGGAAAGCTAGTAGATGTAATTACACCCTTCACCCTTGCAACAGCCATCACAGTAAAAATCAATTCAAACTAGAATAATCAATGGATGCTATTTCAAGGTGTGGGAGGGTGGAGCTGATGAATAGGATGGTTACATAATTTCAAAGTATCCTCTCATAAATTATTAATTTACAAAGGAAAAATACATTTATAGCAGAGAAGCTGGACAATACTTTAACCATTCACCAGTTATCCCCACCAGTCAGGGGCAAATGGACATCATGTGCCTTTAGTTGTGATATCTGAGGACAAAACGTCACTTATGTAACATTCCAACCAAACACACATAATCTGAATCTAATCATGAGGAACTAGACAAACCCAGCCGACAAACATTTCATAAAATAACTGGCCTGCATTGTTTAAACTGTTGATGGCATAAAAAACAAAGAAAGGCTGTGGAAATGTTCCGGCTTTTAGGAGACCAAAGAGACATGTCAACTAAATGCAACATATGATCTTAGGGGAGAAGGGAACTATAAAGGACATTACTGGAACAACTGACAAAATTGGAATACAGTCTGCAGATTAAATGAAAGTATATCAATGTTAAATTTCTTAAGTATGATAACTAAACTATGGAATATATAAGGACGTTCACATTCTTAGGAAATACATACTGAAGTATTTAGGGGCAAAAGGGCATAATATATGCAACCTATTTTCAAATGATTCAGAAAAAGAAATATGGATAAATAGAGAAAATGAAAAATGAAATGCGGCATATGTTACAAATCAGTGAATCTGGGTCAAGAATATTTTAGAGTTCTTTTAAAGTGAAACGTAGGCCTACGTGTAAAACCTAAAATAAAAAACCTTTTAGATGAAAACATGGCAATAGCCAGGCATGGTGGGAGGGTGGCTTGAGCTCAGGAGTTTGAGACCAGCCTGGGCAGCACAGCAAGACCTCATGTCTTAACAACAACCACCTCCCCACCCCCACCAAAAAAAAATCTTTGTGACCTTAGATTAGGCAAAAATTCTATAAGTATGACACCAAAAGCATGATCCATAAAACTGGACTTCATACAAATTAAAAACTTTAACTTAATTTAAACTTTAACTGTTAAGAGAAAAGACAAATACACAGGCTGAGAGAAAATATTTTCATGTTTAAAGTCTGATAAAGGAGTCGTCCTGTGTACCATTTCCTGCAACTTTTAAGTTTTATTTACAAATGGGATGTTAAAAAGAAAGACACCTAAGAGCAAAATGACTTTTAAAGGAGCCCCTACAATTGAAGAGTCCTATCCTTTCAATATTTAAAAAAGGTTATTTTTGGAAAATAGCATCTACCTCTCTTCATCACCATTTTATTTCTCTCCTTTGAGACGGGGTCTCTCTATGTTACTCAGACTAGTCTCAAATTCCTGGCCTCAAGTGTTTCTCCTGCATTGGCCTCCTGAATAGCTGGAACTTCAGGTGCCCGCCACCACACCTGGCCCACAACTTATGTTTTGACAAATGTTTATGCTTACTCCCATTGAAATTAAAACGCTTACTCCCATTGGAATTAAAACACTAAATGGATGGGCTCAAAAGCAGAATGGAAAGACAGAGAAAATAATCAGTGAACCTGAAGACAGGAAAAAAAATTACCCACTCTAAAAAGAGAAAGAAAATGCTTAAAAATTTTACAGAGCCTCAAGGAACCATGTGACTATAACAAATGACCTAACATCATATCATCAGTCCCAGATGGAGAAGAGAGAGAGGCAGAGCTGGAAAAATATTCAAAAAAATGGCTAATTTCACAAAAGACATAAACTTACATATTCTAGAAGCTGAGTGAACTCCAAACAGGATAAATGCAAAGACATTAATGACAAGACACACCATAGTCAAACTTCTGAAACTAAAGACAAAGAAAAAAATCTTGAAAGCAGTGAGAGAAATGACACTGTACTTACAGGGGAATAGCTGTTTGAACCACAAAGGATTTCTCATCAGACACCATGGATGCCAAAAGGAAGTGGCACATTATTTTTCAAGTGCTGAAAAAATTAAATATCAGCCCAGAATTTTATATCCAGTGAAAATATCCTTCAAAAATGAAGGAGCTACAGCTGAATTCAAAGGAAGAAAAAAAAAAAAAAAAAAAAAAATGAAGGAGAAAGCACGATATTCTTAGGTGAAAAGAAAAGTTACCTACCTAAAAGAATGGCTAAAGAAACAGAAAGAAATTGATAAAAGGAAAAATCTTGGAACATCAGGAAGAACAAACAATGGAGAAAGTAAAAATATGCATAAATACAGTAGACTTTCCTTCTCCTTTTGAATTTTCACTGATACTATATTAATATAGTAAATATTTAAAACAATTATAATTTGGGGAAGGCATAGAAATGTGAAGGGAAGAAAGGTTTCTATACTTACACTGGTAAAATGACACCATCAGTAGATGGTGAGAAATGAATGATATGTATATGATATCTAGTGCAGTCACTAAAAAAGTCATGCAAAGAGATAGACCACTCCAAAGCACTACAGATAAATTAAAATAGAATAACAAATGAATCTGCTCTAGTGACCATTTTATTTTACTTTAACCTTGTAAGGAAAAAACTAAAGACACTTTCCTAATTTAGCAAGAGAATTCAGTTTATGTATAGGTTAGGTTGATTACAATTAAATCAAGGAAGTCATAGCAAACAAGTCATTATAATGTTGGTGAGCAAATTCAGCCTATGAGAAATCATTTACAACTTCAAGTAAAAAGATTTTCTCTAACAAACATTTTAACAAATGCTGTTTCCTACAACAAACATTTGATAATCTTTGCCATTTTGAGAGTAAGGGTTACAATTCACAAAAAATAAATTTTTGCTCAGTCTGGTCTTGAACTCCTGTCCTCAGGCAATCCTCCCACCTCGGCCTCCCAAAGTGCATTATAGGTATGAGCCACCGCACCCAGCAAAAAATTAATTTTTGAAAATCAGAATATTAGAGAAAAGCTTCCTGCCAATGACTAGTAAGAAACTAATTTTTTTGATGAGATTCAGAATATGTATAACTCTAACTAAACAAAACCCTTACCAAAAACTAGTCAATATTCTTGATCCCTAATGCCAATACAGCAATTGGTATCTTCATCATCTTATAACATCTTATTAAGCCAATAAGATCAATACTTTATATTTCATAATACAATTTTGTCAATAGTATTTCTTCCAGATTTCTCATTAAAATGTCATTACAGCTGATAATTTAATTTTCTTTAATTTTAACCAAGGATGAATTAAAGTATTGGGGGATAATTTCATCCTACCATGGCTCTAGGATTTTGGTGACTGAGTAAAACTACCACCTTCATATTTCTTTTTTCTTTTTTTTTGAGACAGAGTCTCACTTTGTTGCCCAGGCTACAGTGAGTGCCATGGCGTCAGCCTAGCTCACAGCAACCTCAAACTCCTGGGCTCAAGCAATCCTTCTGCCTCAGCCTTCCGAGTAGCTGGGACTACAGGCATGTGCCACCATGCCTGGCTAATTTTTTCTATATATATTAGTTGGTCAATTGATTTCTTTCTATTTATAGTAGAGCCAAGGTCTCGCTCTTGCTCAGGCTGGTTTCGAATTCCTGACAGAAATACACAGATGGTGTTACCCATTTTATATGGGGAAATGTGGTTCAGAGAAGTTCAGTAATATATCCTAGAAATCACAGGTAAGTGGCAGAGCTGGGATTCAATCCCACTCTAATTCTAAATACTATACTGCCACGCTCAATTAATTTGGGACTTCAGTTTCTTATCTATAAAATAAGAATAAGAGTAGTCCATCAAAATGCCCTTCCAGATCCTTCCAGCTACTAAGTCTCCCCACCCTCAGAGCCCCCAAAGTTCTCTAGAGAATTCTCCTTGCTTTCAGTGTACATTAGATGTGTATATAACATTTCCTCCCCAACTAAACTAAACTTGAAGTCTGAGTTCATTTTTAATTCATCCTAATGATCTTCACTGCCTTCATATAACAGATGCTTAGTTATAGAATAAGTTAGAAAGTATGATTTGGAATATATAAATTATACTGTAACCATGCTTTATATAGAAATTCTATGAAGAAAAAAAGGCTTAAGAAAGTACATCAGTCATAAATAAGATAGATGCCTCTCATTAGAAAAACTAAGTATAAACAGATCTGAGGAACACACAAATTAGGGGATGATTATTTTACGTAAGGACTCTTTGGCAAAATTGAGCCTTTTTAGAGTTCCTTTAGATACGAAATCTCCTACTTCAATGCTTTTAAGTATATTAGTATTTAAATATGTACAAATTCAATGTGTAGTCTTTGGAGAAATACTATATAAAGATTTCTATGTGCCTAGAAATCCTCCATTAAGTTCAAAAGAAAACATGTTTAAAAAAATAAATTTTTTTTTATTAAACTTGGAGACAGGGTCTTGCTATGTTGCCCAAGGCTAGTCACAAACTCCTGGGCTCAAGGGACTCTCCTGCCTCAGCCTCTCGAGTAGCTGGGACTATAGGCATGTGCCACCATGCCCAGCCTAAACAAATTTTTTTAAGCGTCTGGAATGTAAATTCCTGAGGGCAGGAATCTTGATCATCTTGTTCACTGATGTAACCCCAGGCTCTAGCACAGTGCCCAGTCTATTCAGAAGACATTCATACACTGACTAAAAAGTAGAATATAGTACCAGATTCAAATCTATAATTAGAATTTTCCAATGCTAGATTAGGCTCTCTGGTTTATGGGGATTGGATACTCACTGTTGATTTAATCTTCTTGATATGCACTCTATTGATAAAGTACATATAAATGACTGACAGGTAAAAGCTATAACCTGATATTTACAAAGATTTACAAATTTACAAATTCTAAATTAGATGCAGATTAGTCAAGAGTATTGTTTCAATGTTAATTTCTTGGTTTTGAGAACTGTACTGTGGTTCTGTAAGATGTCAGTTAACAGAATGAAAGGTAGATGAGAACTCTTTATGTTAATTTTGCAACTTTCTTGTAAGTCAAGTTATTTCAAAATAAACTTAAAAGTTAAAATGCTAAAAATTTAAATTAGAAATACTTACTGCACCAAGTGATGGTCCATATCTTCCTGTGGAAACTTTACACATGTAACTGACAAAATTGGAAATAACACCTGAGAAATAAATCACATTTCAATAATTTAAGTGAGATATAAAAATGGTTTCCATTTCTGCTGTTCACTCTACCCAAATTAAGTGTCAGGTTTCTATCTGGATCACTATAAGGGCACAGGCATGGATACTCATCCTACTTATGGCTTCAGCTATTTACAGGGAAGGAAAGTCTGACCTACTCTATGACTTGCTGAATAACACAGGGTCATTCACTTTCCCTCTCAGTTGTTTTCCTCAACTGTAACATAAAGAAAGGAGACTGGTTCCCAAACTCACCAACTATCTCAGAATCCTTGGGGCTGTACTCCAGACACACTAAATCAGAATCTCTGGGGTGGGATACTAGGCTAGATGATCCTTCAGGTCCCTTTGGCTCCAGTGTCATTGAGTTAATGTGGCTCATTTTAAAAAACAACTTTCTATGGAGCAGGAAGTAATGGCATCTGAAACAGACCCTCTGGAGCTACAATGACACAACTAGTGCTTAGCTAAAGAACTATACGCTTATCTTATAAGCCAAAGATATTGCTTTGACAAACTAGATACACATGGGTATTCAATTAATACTGATTAAGCATCTACTCTGGGCCTTGTGGTAGATGAGAGGATAAGTGCTTTTCTGCACTACAGCACACTGCCAGATATACTATTTTTTAACCCTTTGCACTCGCTTGCTTTTTTCTCGATTCCTTTATTCTACTCGGGATTTAATTTTTTAAATACCCCAGATTTTACAAAGCATGGCAGTAGAATAAAAAACTGGAGTTTCTTTTCATACAAACTTATTTATTTGGATTTTTTTATATTTCAAATTATTGATACATTCAAAGAGTAATTTTAATCTCTATAATTTTTCATGGTGTAATATTTTTTGAAACATTCACCCACATAAAGACCTGGTTTATATTCACATGTTTCGCAAATATAAATCATCTCTCTTCTTCCTCCTTTGATTTTTTCTGTTAGAACAAACAATATAATCTTTGTGTTTTTTGTTAGGGTGAGGTGTGATTATATAGAGCTTTCCATCTAAACGTTGCTCTAAGTTAGTGGATAATAATCTACCCCTGGAAATTAGTGTACCATCTCTGCATTTACATTTTACTTGTCCTTTCATGCTAATGAAAACAAGAAAGATACTGGAAAAATAGACAAAAATCCCCTTCCCCCCACGGTGACACTATGTGTCGAGTGTGGCTCGACATACGAGCTGCTACCGATGCTAACCGTGTCAAGTCACACTCGACATCCGAGTGCAAAGGGTTAATGTAGAGATTTTTAAAATAAATTTTTATATTTTATTGTTTTAATTAAGTATATGTGGTAGAGAGGCAAGTAAAATTTGATCAACTGTCAACTTAGCAGCATCTAGGGACCTGGAATCGTGCACTGTAATTTCCTAATTGAAATAAGAAAATGATGCCACCTCCAAGGCCATGACTAGGAAATCGTTCCATGTCAATATACATTCTTGCAAAACAGATGGAACAAATTCATTCTTGACAATCATATTCTATGGCCATACCACCCTGAACGCACCTGATCTCGTCTGATCTCAGAAGCTAAGCAGGGTCGGGCCTGGTTAGTACTTGGATGGGAGACAATCACATTGGAAAGCTCTCATCTAAAACCTCTGGAAACTGAACACACAGGAGGAAATGAGTTTGCTTAAGGTTATTTAACAAAGATCCAGACACTTGAGATAGCCAGGAAGTTGGGAGTCACTATCTAAAAAATGGTCAGCCTGAGCTAAAGAAATCAAGGTCTAGAAGGATAAAAATGGCATGCTTAAATTCTACACTAACTCTTAACTCTTGTTTATCCTAATTTAAACCTAAGCATACCAAAATAATTCGTGTAAAAGGCAATCAGCAAAATGAGAAGAAAGACAACAGCTCCCCCAGTCTGTAGTTCCCTTCTCTACATACAACTTGAGAAACAAGTCCTGAGCACTTCCTGTGTGTAGAATATGGAGGTAAACATCCCCTCTGTCCCTTCTGCAGATAGGTGAGAGTGCTTACGCCATCAAAGGCCCTGAGATTAAAGCTTATTTATTACCTGCAGACAGGTACACTGCCATGAACTGCTCTTGACCCAGAATGTTCACTATGCTGGAGGAGAAACTCCACAAAACATACATATTTGCTGTCATGTGAAGTAAGGAGAAATGGCTGAACGTTGAGAGCAACATTGGAGAACAAAGGACCTCTACAAGAGAGAAAAGCACAGTCTGGTAATCATGGAGTATATAGCCAGTAAAAATCATCTGTTTTAAACTTTTATTATTGGCCTGGAGCAGTGGCTCATGCCTGTAATCCTAGCACTCTGGGAGGCCGAGGCCGGAGGATTGCTTGAGCTCAGGAGTTCAAGATCAGCCTGAACAAGAGCGAGACTCCGTCTCTACTATAAAAAAAATTAGCCAGGTGTGGTGGCATGCACCTAAAGTCCCAGCTACTCAGGAGGCTGAGGCAGGAGGATCCCTTGAACTCAGGAGTTTGAAGTTGCTGTGAGCTAGGCTGATGCCACGGCACTCTAGCCTGGGCAACAGAGTAAGACTTTGTCTCAAAAAAAAAAAACAAAAACAAAACCACACACCAAAAAAATAGGCTTTTATTATTATTGTAAAACAAATCAAACATGGGAAACAAAACTAGAACCAGCCAAAAGCTTAAATAAGACAGTTTAAGACAGCATTTTTCAAAGTGGTAAAAAGCTTTCTCAATAAGTCTCTTTTCTACTTAGTAAGCAACCAATAAAAATTTTCAGTTCATGAAAGCAACTGTCTTTACGGCAAAAGTTAGTTAGGAAAGAATGAGTAAATTATTTTAATTACAGATAAAAAGTTGTATATTTTAATAATATTCTTCTCAAAGAATAAACTTGTAGTGATCACAGACCTGAATTCATTAAAAAATATTTAGATACTAATATGTACCTTAGTATGTGTACCTTACTATGTACAAGGTACATGCTAGGCACCTGGGATATAGCATTAATAGAGATGAGCTTTCTGTCCACAAGGAGTTTACAGCCCATCCTCTAGATTTTGCTTGTAATTACTGACAAATAATTCATCTTTTTTATAGCCTTTCAGTGAACATAAAGCATAGTTCTTTCATATTATCTCTACCTCAAAATAAAATCCCATAAGTTAGACTTACTTGAGGCTGGATTAGATGTGAAATATCTGATCATTGTCCTCTGTAAAGCAGGTACTCTCCATAAACAGAATACGAAGACATTTGCAGCTATGATACCTATAAAATAAACATTTATTATTTGGAGAGAGTAAAAAGAAGAGCAAAGACAGTTTGATCTAAAGTCTACCCGAATAAGATTTTCTACCACAATTATGTAAGAGTACTATATACTTTTGGGGTAGGAGGGGAGCTAAAAAAAGTGAAATCAGTACTTTTAAAGCACCAAAACTGCAGAGTCACAGAATTCCTGGAAAATCAGAAATGCTCTAGGATCTAACTTCCTTCACCTAGATCCATATTTTACTTCTTCAGAACAGTTCAGTCTTCTCAATAATAACCATATCTATAAGTATTTAATAATGGCCAAGCCAAAGATAGAAGTAATATACAGAATTAGGTTCCCTGGCCAAGACTAGAAAAGCTAACATCATTTCTTTGAGTTCAGGGAATGGTACACTTCTTAAACTCATTGCTGGCTCATGGAAACATCTGTGGATCATCCATGGATATGAAGGTCAACATGTTTGAGAATAAGTATTTGATAAGAATTCAGGGATAATCTGGAAGAATTTGCAACTATTTTTGAAGTATGCTTACAACTCCACATGGGAGTTGGGTGACTGTTTCATTTTTCTGCAAGTGCCTGATGTTGCTAGTACTACAAGTAAATTGAGTAAGTTTATTTCATAACAGAATTAATTAGTCACATTTTAGGGAAGAAATTAAGTTATTCCTGAAAAGCACAGGCTGTAAAAAATACATTAATCTTATGAATTGCCACAACTCCTTGCACACAGCAGATATTCATCTACTTGTTGAATTAAAAGAATTTAAACATTTATTCCTCCAATCTCTTTAAGCAATAGGCAAGTAACACTTTCAACTTCCTCAATGACAATACAACTGATTTCAGGAACATTCTGGTAGGAGGATTTATTTCAGAAGATATTCTTTGTATAATAGTCCCTGCCAACCACTACACCTTGGAGTTAGCTTTGGCTTCCATATTTGCTCATTCTGTAAGGCTCTCTGCTATCTCCTGGCATTTCAAGTCTAATTTTTGCTCTCCCACTTGAGTCAGGTAGGAAAAGAAGCTACCATTTTTCATAGATTTTAAGACATTTTTCCCATTTTAATATCTGAAATCAGGATGCATCTTAAAGTTAGTGATGTGTCACAGCTTAATTGGTAGCATTTTTTTCTTTCTTCATAGTGTATTAAATGGAGTTTTATTGCATTTTATTAATTTCATTAGTTGTATCAGATATTTCACTAGTAGGGACTATGACAGCTGTCATACCATCTTTGATAAATACCTTAAACTCTTTCAAAGATGATGAGAGGGACAGTGTTTATAGAGATCACAAGCAAGGCAATTAAAAGCATCGTGTGTACCTCCCAATGAGAAGCCTGGAACCCTAAGGGGAGGGGGGCAGAGGAAAGGCACAGACTCCACAGAACCTCGGAGGTTTATCCTACAGCAAGACAACAGTGATTAGTGTTGCCTAGGGGTCTTTAGTTTTCTTTCAAAGAGTTATAAACATCTTTACTACCCAGAGCACCCCCTTAGGTCTAGGTTGTTATACATACTGATAGATATCTTAGGGTAAAGAAAACCTAAGAATAGTTTGGGCATCATCATAAAGATCAGGTTTCCATGATAATAAAGATAATCAGTCAGGGCTTTGGTGTTTACTTTACTTTGATTCAATGCAAAGAGCAAGAAGGGGTCCCTTATCCTACCCACTAGGCTGAAAATTGCAACAACTATCCTGCCTACTCTTTCAGTTCCACAGTCTGCTTCTTCAAACCAGTGACATACAGCACACACAACTTCTGGAAACTACAGGTACCACAGCACTGTAGAGAAGTAGGATGCATCTCTGGTTAAAGTGATTACAATTAGGGAAAAGAATTGAAAAAGGGAAAGATAACCAAAAACATCATGGTTAGCAGGAGACAAAGAGTAAACATTGCCAAGTTTTCAATCCAAATGCAAGAAGCCTTTCCGGTAAATTATGAGAGTAACAGCACTGGAACAGATTGTAGGCAAAATCCCTCACTTCATAGGTCAGTGGTCACCAAACTTCTTTGATTAGGCACCCCATCAGTAAACAACTATACAGACATACTCAGTATGTGTATACTTATTTACAAATTATATACATGAACCACTACAGTTCATTATAAAACATACTAACAAATCAAAAAGATAGGAGGAAATTAAAATCCGGATATTTTCTTCCTTGCAAATCCCATTTTGAAGGCCAGTTATAGATGAGAAAACTGAGGCTCCAAAAGGTACAAATTGTCAAAGAGGCAAACTTCAGTGGCCACGCCAGAATTCCTAATCTAGTGCTCTACTATATACCAAGACAAGGTGGCCTGGAGAATTTATTTTGACCTTGGTCATTCTAGGACTTCAGACACCAGACAAAGGGGTCCCTAGCTGAGAAATAGCACAAGCCGGTCCCCAGAAGCAGGTGAGCAGGAGAGGCTGTGCGGTAATCCTAGGCCTGCTGAGGCAGCACCGTACATTGGCTGAAAGTATGGTGAGGGAGTCCAGCAGAACCAACTCTGTCCTACTTACATTATAACTTGGGTAAGAGGCCTAACCTCTCAGCCTCAGTTTCCTCTTCTGCAAAACGATAAGAAAATCTACCTAAAAGAGTTGAATGATGATGAAATGAGAAAACACAATTAAATGTAGCAGTCACACAGTAATGAACCAATAAATGAAATTATGGTGGAAAGAGAATGGCCTTTTTAGGTCTGAATCCTAGATATGCCACTTAGCATTTTATCCCTTTCACTTCAGTTTCCTCATCTGTAAAATGAGGATAATAATTCCTTCCTCTAAGGCAGTAGTGAGGCTTAAAACAGTACATCCACCTAGCATACAGATGATTAAAGAATGATTTCCTCACCTCTCTTTCTCCTTTGAGAAATGCAACAGCTTAAGGTATCTGTATCTCCATTTAATACAGGTGTTACCTGATTCCTCCTGACTCAGTCACTTCCTGGACAAGCTTGGCACTACTGATTTGGGAAGGCTGTTGTCCCCATGCCAACTTCTACCAAGTGTGATACACTGAATTACATCAGTGAAAATAACAAAATTGGCTGGGCGCAGTAGCTCACGCCTGAATCCTAGCACTCTGGGAGGCCGAGGCGGGTGGATCATTTGAGCTTAAGAGTTCAAGACCAGCCTGAGCAGAGCAAGACACCATCTCTACTAAAAATAGAAAGAAATTAGCCAAACAACTAAAAATATATAGAAAAAAAATTAACCTGGCATGGTGGCACATGCCTGTAGTCCCAGCTACTCGGGAGGCTGAGGCAGAAGGATTGTTTGAGCCCAGGAGTTTGAGGTTGCTGTGAGCTAGGCTGACGCCACGGCACTATAGCCCAGGCAACAGAGTGAGACTCTGTCTAAAAAAAAAAAAAAAGAAAAAGAAAGAAAGAAAATAACAAAAATAAGGATCTCTGAAAACTCTTCTTCATAAAAGCAATGAAAACACTTGTAAAAATTATCAGAATCGATTTTTCAGAACTCTAGAAACCAAAGGCTTATAGCAAACCAGAGAACATTTATTTTAAAAAACTTGGTGAATCTCAGAACAGCTAGCTTTGCAGCATTTTACCTTGTCCTAGTCTCATCCCCTGCTCTCCAGCTCCAAAGTAACCTTGAAAACAGGCCATATTCCCAGTGCAGCCTGACAACCACCAGAGGTAGCTGGTAGCATTGTGCTAGAACTCTTTCAAAGCCTCATTCCCTAAGAAATGTCATTATCTGACCCGGCAGTTGCTACTCCAAAAGATTCCACTTGCAAGGCTGTATTTAACCTGACTGGGTCATTTTTGCCAGAGGGCATTTATCAAAAACAAGGTTAAATGCTTTAGGTTGGAGGGTGCCTAAGAGGTGGATAATACATGGGCAAATAAGAGTCTAACCAAAATCTTAAAAGGAATAGCAAGGAAATAAGATTTCCATGTGGGGTGGGGAGGGTCTATGGCATACTACCCTGAATGTGCCCGATTTTGTCTGATCTCAGAAACTAAGCAGTGTCACGTCTGGTCAGTACTTTAATGGGAGATCACCTGGGAATACTGGGTGCTGCAGGCTTTAAAAAAAAAAAAAAAAACCTAGCACTCTGGGAGGCTGAGGGAGGAGGATCGCTCAAGGTCAGGAGTTCAAGACCAGCGAGAGCAAGACCCCGTCTCTACTATAAATAGAAAGAAATTAATTGGCCAACTAAAAATATATAGAAAAAATTAGCTGGGCATGGTGGTGCATGCCTGTAGTCCCAGCTACTCGGGAGGCTGAGGCAGAAGGATTGCTTGAGCCCAGGAGTTTGAGGTTGCTGTGAGCTAGGCTGACGCCATGGCACTCTAGCTAGGGCAACAGAATGAGACTTTGCCTCAAAAAAAAGATTTAAGAGCCAGGCATGGTGGCTCATGCCTATAATTCTAGTGACTCGGGAGGCTGAGGCAGGAGGATTGCTTAAGGCAAGAAGTTTGAGACCAGTCTGGGCAACAGACCAGTGAAACCTCTGTCTCTAAAAAAATAATAAAACTGGGTGTGGTGGCACGTGTCTGTTGTTCCAGCTATGAGGGAGGCTGAAATGGGATCACTTGAGCCAGCCTGGGCAACAAAGCAAGACTCTGTCTCTAAAAAACAATTAAAATAAATAAAATAAATAAGGATTTATATAAATAAATAAATAAGGATTTAAGATCTTTATGACCATTCACATTTACATTTTTGAAAGCACTTTATATTCAAGTTGCTAGACAGATCCCAAGTATCTCTTTACTGCTATGCCCTTCATGCTAAATGACTGATTAAAAGAAAAAAAAGGCCAGAAGAAATAATTCTGATTTTTTTATTTTTTTATTTATTTATTTTTCTTTATTTTTTTTCTTTATGAACCGGTGCCACAGTGGTGAGAACACCAAATCCTGACCACTAGACCACCAGGGAAAGAATTCTGATTTTTAATTACTTCTGAATACCAGACTCTTTGAATAAACTATTTACTGGCATGAGAAAAGATTTTAAATTCTGATTCCAGATTTCTTCATATAGTTAAATGGTATAAAATCTTTACCACCTTCAAAGAATATGAGGTATCAGTTAATTGCGAAATAATTGAAAATAATGAATGAAATCAAAACCTTGCTACCCTAAAGAAATGCTATTAATTTTCATTACTTTCAGAAAACAGGCAAATAAAGAAAACACATTAATCTTAGTGAAACAGATATGTTACTACAGAGCTATCTTTGAAGTAATCATATTAAGACCTCATTGACTAAATCAATTCTACAGTCTAAGGTATGGCAACATACTTTGAAAAATCTCAATCCCTTGGTTCAAGATTCCATTCAACATTCATTCACTCAACAGATTTTAACTGAGTAGCTTACTTTACCATGTCCATATGTGGTAGGTGCTAGAACAAAATAAAAAATCTCATCACTGTCCTCAAGATGCCTACATTGCCCTCAAAGATGCTACATGTACAATTATATAAGGCAGGTTGTATTATAAATGATAAAAACTGCAATGAGTTCAGAAAAAAAGAAAGCACTTCCTGAAGGAAACGTCTGAACTATAAAACTAAAAGCCTGATCAGGTTCTAGTAACATCAGAAAAAAGAAGCCTTCTAGACAAAGGAAACAGTTTGAATGGAGAAAGATAAACAGTTTTTCTCCACTTACATAGGTATAGAAAATTAAAAGTACCAGTAAGTCTAATCATATTTGACAAAAAGCAATATTTCACAATTCTTTGGAAATATTTTTTTCTTATTTACACAATTGCTAAAGAACATACAAATCCATTTTCCCAAGTTTCTCAAATAACTAAGTCCATAAAGTATTGCACGACTGTTAACTTGAAGAGCTAGATCTGTTTTTCCATAAAAATTTACAAAGAACAAAAAATTATCATGGTGACATGCATGGCATGCTTACATTTAAAGAGAGTTTTATAAATAGCATGGAGGAGTAGAGAGAAAATTGGTTTTAGAATGAGACAGACCCAGGTTTTGAAACTCAGCTCTACTACTTACTAGCAGTTTGACCTTCGAAAAGTTCCTTCTCTGAAAGTCAGTTTCCTTATCTGTAAAAAGGGAGACAACTACTCTGTAAGAAACTCTGTGAGGTAGGGAAAGAATGTGTATTAAACATCCTCTGTTACAGAAAGTACTTAATCAAGGTCTTCTTTAGTTTTCTTAATAGCGGAAGTAATAATTACTCATAAGCTATTTCACAAGCTGGGATTCTACAACAAATTGATCATTTGATCAGTATCACACCAGATCAAAATTAGAAAATATAATAACTGACCCAGAGCATCATGTGACTCTTCATGCCACATTATTTTTTATACTATTACATTAGCCTACAGGTACAGAGACTCTCTGTCTTCTAAACCACTGGTGAGCACAGTACAAAAGCCATTGCCTGCGACATACTGTACCTTTTGGTTTGATTTCTCTTCCCTTGAATGGCTAAAACGTGTAAGCTAACACAAACCTGTCACAGTCCGCTGGCCATCACTAAGGTTATTCCACAACTTGTTAATCTAAAACAGAAGGAAAATTGCATATCACCGTATGTGAAGTTTCAGGCTAGGAAAATGAAAATCCAGAAAGGAAATGCCTTATACATAAAAGGAGAAATCTTCATCTGTAAAAGTCACTAGTGATCACAGACATAATAAATAAGTGGTAGACTAGAAAGGCATGTATTTATAGTCAGCCTACATTCTCTACATAAAACCACTGATTAGCTCTGAGGCTTCACACAACTTCTAAACTTCAGTTTCCTGATATAGAAAATGAGACAATAACAAATATCTGGCAATGTTGTCATGAGGAGTAACAATAATGTAAAGCACACTATGAAATTCAGCCAAGTATCAAGTAAGTGATTATTTATACCAGGGTCTCATGTAGTTTTACAGTCTAACCAAGAATATTTTCTATTAAAAATTGCTATTTTTTTAGATATAATAATAGAATATGACATTTAGAAAGAGAGGAGAATCCTAATTTTTCAGGGATACGTGTTGAAAATTCTATGGATGAAATATGCCTAGGATTTGCTTTATAATAATACAGCAGTAGAGAGGGAGGGGAATGAAAGGGAAATAGATGGAAAATAAAATGGGCCATCTGTCGGTAACCATTGAAGCTGGATGACAGTGGTTCATCATACTATTCTCTCTACTTTTACTCATGGGAAATTTCCCATGATTAAAGTTTTTAAATAAAAAATGTAAGCCGGGCGCGGTGGCTCACGTCTGTAATCCTAGCACTCTGGGAGGCCGAGGCGGGCTGATTGCTCGAGGTCAGGAGTTCGAAACCAGCCTGAGCGAGATCCCGTCTCTACTAAAAATAGAAAGAAATTAATTGACCAACCTGAATATCATATTATACAAAAAAATTACCACGGCATTACACTGCCACAATCACCCCCCGGTGGCGGATGCCTTGAAGTCCCAGCTACTCCGAGGAGGCTGAGGCAGGAGGAATGCTTGACCAGGGAGTTTGAGGTTGCTGTGAGCAGGCTGACGCCAGGCACTCACTCTAGCCTGGGCACAAAGTGAGACTCTGTCTCAAAAAAAAAAAAAAAAAATAAAATAAACAAATAAAAAAATGTATTCTAACTATGAAAATTGAAAGCTTTGTTATGGAAATAAATCCAGGATAAAAGAAATTACAGATCAGGTATATATGACGTTCCATACTTTAATTAAAAATTAATTGAAGTTCCCAGACTTTTATCTAACTGACTATATAATGGTATGAAAAGGGTGTTGCTTAGGACTTTCACTTTGTCCTCATGTTATATTTAATATATTTGTCAATCTTCTTTAATGGCTATGGAATTGTATAACCTATATCATATAGCCGTAATGACTTAATCTATAAATGATTTATTATCAAACAACCAGTGTGATTGGAGGTAACCAGAACGGAGCCGCCCGACTACCGATGAATAGGTTTTCAGTGCACCATTCTCGAAGACAGGTTGAAGTTATACGATGAGTCGAGAGAAGATGGTTCATGATGCAGAGAGTGCTAAGCAAAGACCCGTGACCGCTTCTAAGGAGTCCAGGATAATTCCTAGAACTTAATGCAGTGTTTCACAGTGAAATGCAGTGCTGCAAATAGACCTGTCCACTGAAGAAAATGCTGGAGTGTGACATGACACCCTTCACGTGCAAAGTATCCATCTATACAGTAGCTGGCATGACCAAGCAGCTCTGTTTAAAAGACAGATACGGCTGGGCCACTTCTGGGGAATGAGGTGTGCCCCTAATAATGGGAAACACAACAGGAAATAATCCGGTTTGCGCCTTATTTAGAAGAACACCAAAAGCAATTACCACTAATAAAAGAACCCAAGGCTCCTTCCTCTCGAGCAAAACTCTTGAGCCGGAGAGTCGACAACTCAGATATCCCAGAAGAGGAACATGTGCAAGCCGAGAGAACAATCCGACCCACTGGTGACGCCAGAAGAAAAGAAGCAGCAGTTAACTGCGATAAAACGAAAGATGGCGCGAGAAAGCCAAAATTGTGAAATCATCAGACCAAACAACCCTTAGCATTAAAATTAACCATAACAAGCCACAACGTGCTCAAAATATTGCAAGCGAAATGAAAAGTAGTTATGCGTGTCTATCACCAAGAAACAGTTGTAAAAAATCATTAAGAAAGAGACATCAAGCTTGCATATAAAGTAAATGACGAAGCTCTGAAAAGCTGAGCTGCCGTTTTTGCGACCATCTCCTGAACAGTGTTAAAAACAGTAGAAGGTATGTACCAGATATGAAACAGCAAAAGCAGTGAGAAACTTTTTTAAAATCTACTTGTGGTAGCTCTATGCCCTAAAGACAATGTATATTCCTTGAGTAAGAATCCAACCAGCTACCCTGTGATTCTGATGATGTGACTCTAAAGTAATCCGAGTAGAAAAAAACAGTAGAGCCCTTAAGACTTCATGAGTGTGAGGAGGGCCTCAAAACATTAAGTAGACGCATGGTCTGTGGTGATTTATTGATGCACGTGGTAGCGAGGTGACAAATTGGTATAACACGGTCAAGCACAGATACTGTCAAGTACAACAATTGCCAGACATATAAAACGAGGATAAATACTTGATGAAAGAAACCGAGACAGACATATTAGTGATACGAACTGACTCATAAAAAGAGTCTGAATGTTGCAGTAACAAAAGCAGTTCACCACCCACACAGCTTCAAATACTGGGATATCACTGGCGAGTAACTATAGTCGAGCACAACAGTTTATATTCTATTTTCAAGAATAGCGTACCGAATATCGTTGAATGTTCCCAGCATAAAGATAAATTGTTGAAGCGATGATATTATAATTACCCTGATTTAGATTATTGATTACATTATTCATGAAGTGTATCAAGAACTATCACTTGTATCTGAATATTTGTACAACATGATTATGTATCAATTAAAAAATTTGTGATGTAACTAGAAGAAAGGCAATGTTTATTTTTACCTCCTTTCTGAATTCCTTTTCTGTCTAGGCGTATTCCAACCAATCAGCTTTATACCCATCAAAATAACTCTGGACCCTTATTCAGTGATTCATATTGCAAATAGCAGCGATCCAAATGCAAGCCTGTAACCACGTATATAAAAATAGATATTTACAAAATATTTAAAAGGAAATAGATGCTGTACATTATCAAGGACAACTTACGTTCATTTTCTGGCTTTACAGAACCAACAGAAGAACACCTGGCACAGTGAAACCTC